ATCAAATCTGAAACCGTGAACCGATACTGACTTATTCGGATCAAGTCAGTTGCCAATGGGACATTTCTTTCCTCTTCTATTGATTTTACAGCCAAATAAAAGCAGCTGAGTCCGACACACCCAAGGTGCTTGGGCTGTACCTAAAAACAAAATCGAAAATAGTAAGACTGTATCTCTACTTTATTTCAATTAATAAAATATAAAGGATAATCTAGAAGTAAAACCTACCATTATGAAAATGTATCTTTGAGATATTTCTCAGCTGTGAAGGATTTAACAACATTTACCCATTTCTAAACAACTGTAGCCTGTCACTTCGCAACGTACTTGGAACCATTTGGTTTCTTACTGATTTTTTTTTTTTTTGGTACTGGGGATTGAACTCGGGTCCTTGCGCTTGTGCAGCAGGCAGTGAAACCCGAGCTAAATCCCCGGCCCCCTTACTGATTTTTAATGACAGTAGAACTATAAGCAAACACTGCTGTAATTCAGCCAAATAAGTTATCTGCTCAGTGCATTAACACAAAGACTTCAACACGTTATAGCTTATTCACAAATTGTCTTTCTAGGATATTGTGTGTTTTTCCAGGCTATTTTCTTTATAGTAACACATATAAAATAGTTTTAAAATAATGTTTTCCGCCGCCTGCCACACAAGCTCAAGGACCCGAGTTCAATCCCTGGTACCAAAAAAACACCAAAAAAAACCCCCTTAAAATAATGTTAACACACACTCTTCACTCTGCCCATGAAGTTCTGTCCTCTGCCAATTTCTCCCTTATTTTCTAAATGTCTAGAATGGAAAGCACATTCACAATTCTCTTCAGTCTTTATGTTCCAGCTCAAATGAAACGTTAAGGTTACATTGATACCTGTGTTCTTTCTCTCCCTTGTGACCTCCAGCAGTACATTTTGCCTCTATAAAGGCATAATGTAAATATTTTTATTATGACTTGCACTATATGTAGTTATCTGTGTAATCACCTTATTCTTACATAACATTCATTTGTGCAACACTTATAGTTTCACAGGTAGTGCCTACAAGCGGTAAATGTCAAAGAATTCTTTCATCTGTTGAGCTAATTTTTTGAACCATTCAGTTCAACCAATACTGAGTTCATTTTGTATACTGAGGACTAAAATGTGAGTTTCATTCTAATTGTAACATCTCATTATTTTGGAGTGCTCTTGGGTATACAGGGAAGGCAGATGTATTTAAAAGATGCATTACTCTTGATTATGATAAGGAGGTATATTAATGTGACAGGACACATAGTGTTTTGATTACTCACTGAAAATGCAAAAGGTTAAGCTTATGAATATCAGGCAAAACCCAGCAATTCCATCTCTAAAATACATTGAGTGAAAATTAAGAAATACAGTACTGTAAGTTAAACATACCTTCATTTTAGACAGGAATCTGTCCAGTAAATTCACAGCTAGAGAAAATGTCTCTGTATCAAAGCCAAAAAACTGAGTTAGACTAAGAAGATCTTTCACTTCAAAGTCCCTCAGTCTTGCAGTCATTCTAAGGCCATTATCATGTGCAGATTCAATTAGTCTCAAGCCGCAGACCTTTGGCTGACATCTGGCCTCCTGTTCCAACAGGGTATTCAGCTGGTGTAGCAGTTTCTGGGAGTCAGTTGTTGTCAGGACTTCTATCATCTATATATAGAACAAATCCCAGAATGGAGTGTTAGAGTAACCCTTCCCACTCTCCTTGCTGTTCTCGATTTTGTACCACGAAGTACTTTTTAAAATACATGTCTCGGGCCGGGGACTTAGCTCAGTGGTTCCGACGCCTGCCTCGCAAGCGCAAGGACCCGAGTTTGATCCCCGGTACCAAAAACCCCCACAAAAAACAAAAACACAAAATAAAATAAAATACATGTCTTTTCTCCCTCATTTAAGGTAAAGTGCTGTTACTTTTTTCTCTTCTACAAGTTGGTCACATCTTAAATTGTAAGTTCCTAGAGGACAGGTACTATACCTTTTAAAAAAAAAACGACAAAACTTTAAGAAATACTTGTTCAAGTTATTCACTGTCAATTGATCATCACTAATAGACACTGTAAAACAGAATAACAAAACTGAAATCGGGTGGTAGTATGTATTGTCGTGTATTAACAAAGAGAACCGCTCAAGTTAACTTATCATCTGTAAAGTGGGAAAAAGGGTTATTACCTATCTTGAGCCTTGTATGGATTAAATGAAATCACATGAAGAGCTTAGCATATAGGTAGGTGCTTACTAATCACTGGACAGTAATAATGAGCTTATTTGTACATCTGTAAAATGAGGGTAAGAATACAGTATCTCTCTTGTCCAACGGCTGTAGAGACTACACAGGATGATTCACTTAAGGCTAGCACAGTACTTAGCACACAGTACTCCACAACAGTTAAGCTTTATCAGTGTTAGTAAAGGACAATTAACGGGACGGGAACACGTCACACGTCGCGGGGCGGGCTAACCTGGTCTGCTGCAAAAGGAATCTGAAAATTCCATTAATAGGAGCGCGCTTAACACATCGAAGTTTCAGGCACAAGCTAAGTCCTACATACACAGACGGTCCTTCCTCACATCAATTTAAAAACAGGAAGGCAGAGGATCTCAGGGCTGGACAGGCGAGGAACCACTAACTTCAGGGGTCCAACTCTCGCTCCGGGCACGGGGCTGGCGAGACGCGAAGACACCTCGAGAGGACGGGTCGGCTCCGCCCCTCCAGGCTCGGACTAGCCCGGGCTTGTGCTCACACTAGCAGGAAAAAGGCGCGGGCCAGACCTACCCTAACCCTGCTCCCCACCCGCACCAGGGGTGACCCCGAATCCAGCTCACCTTGCTAGAGACTGCGGCTCCTCGGCGTGATCACCCTCCCCGGGCCTGCTCTCACCTCGCCCCACAGTATCGGATAAAAGAGGCCTAGGAGGCGAGGACACGAGAGGGCAGGAGGGGGAGGCCCGGGGAGGGAGAAGTGTCCTGGGTGGAAGTCCCCGCAGCGCCGCCGAGACTACACCGCTCTCCTCTCGGTCGGACCACGGCGAAGGGGCTGCGCCTGATCGCCGAAGTAATAAGGTATGTTGGGGGCGGGGCTTTCCCGCGAATAGGCATTTTCGCCGCTGATTGGTGTAGTCCTTTTGACTGATGGCCTCCACGGTCCAAAGAAGGCTGATTCGTAAAGGCAAGAAGCTCAGCCAATCAGCGCATACTTCCCATTTTCCGGAGCCCAATTCTCCGCCCTCTTGAAACCACGCCCTTACCTCGAAAGGCCTCCTATTGGAAGCTTTCGCAAAGTGCGGTTCCTTCCAGCTGGGGGCCGACCCCAAAACCGCAGGCCAACACTTGCCCCAGCCAGGTCAGTCTGTACACCAGCCAGGTTGCCGGGATTTCGTTCCAGAGCGTACTGGGAGTTTTTGTTCTGTGAGGTTTACTGGTTGGTCAGGGGTTCTCCCCCACCCCCTTTTTTGGGTCAAAAATACGATGACGAGGTTTTTTTAAAAAGTCAAGCTCTGATTTTTCATTACAGAGGGAGAGGTGGTAGATTTTCTATGGTGTGGTTATTAAATTCCAGAGGGCTCTCTCTGCAAGCTTTGGAGATCAAGTGATCTTTGTCTTGTGATTTTATATTTGTCTTTGTGATTTTATTAAATACTGTAATGGAGTTGGCCTATGTAATTTCTTGATCCTTTACCAATTTTGTGAATGCATTTTTGAAACAAATCTAAATTTAAAAGTCGGCGTAGTATTTTAAATGACTTCAGATGAAAGGTGTGTGGCATACTGTTAAGAGCAGATACAGAACTCTACTGAGAGTCTCACGCTCCCGACGCGTGGAACATTTGCTGTAAGGAATTTAATCTGTCAGCCTTTCCTCTTCCGGTGGAAAAATAAGTCGCCTGAACTGCTTCAGGGATCTCCTTCCCTTTGTGTCTCCAAGACTGTTACAAGTGAGAAGGGTCTGTTTAGTAAAGGTGGGGTGCACCGTCAGCTCTTGCAGAGTAGCTGGATATCTGTACACACAGCCTCTTCCTGTTCACTGGCTTTCTGAAAACATGAAAATCTGAAAGATTTTGTTGGCATTGCTGCTGTTTGTCCTGCCATGTGCTTCCCAGAGCCAGTACAACCACGCCCTGGAACGGGGACTGAGTGGAGAGGAAGGGAAAGGAAAAAGCAACCAAGAAAAGGTTAATACTTCAGTCACATAAGCTGGTGAGTTTTAGAAAACAGGGCCCTAATGGGGAAGGGCCTTTGGTCCCACCTGAAAGTAAACTTACCTAATGAATGTAAATTGACAATTGAGAGCGCTTAAATAGTAATTTTAATTAAAAATGCTTGATGCCATTATGTGAGTTTGCAAATGTACTTGTTTTTCCTTTTGGCTCTTAATTCCCGTCATTCCTAATTCCTAAAATTAGGCATACATTTAGACGACTTTAAAAAATGGTTTAGGAACCATAAATCTTCACAATAGTGAAGAGGATGTACGAGTTAATATTATTAATTTAAGTTATATACTAGCAGAGGACAAACCAGACTGGCTCCTGACTTTTTGAATAGGTTCTCTTTTGGGTAACATAAACACTGTGTTACTCAGCTTTTTGTCACTGTAACCAAACACTTGAGAAAATCACTCAGAGGAGGAAATGTTTATTTGGGGTCCTGGTCAACTTCTAGGCCTTAGATGTCATGGCAGGAGACTGGCGAAGGAAAGCTGCTCAGCTCTGGCAGCCTGGAAGCAGAGAAAGGGTGAAAAAGCCAGAGAGAGGAAGGGGCTGACCAAGATACTGCATACCCTTCCAGGGCGGATCCTCAGTGATAGCTTCCTCCAAGGAGGCTGCACCTCCCAAGAGCCCATTCAGCTAATGATCTCATTGATGGATTAATTACTTAGTGAAGTTAGAGCCCCCTGATCCAATCCCATCTCCCTTTGACCATCAATCCCTCAATAAATGAGTCTTTGGGGGAATACTTAAAACCATAATAAACATATAGACTTTGGAATAAAATGGTCTCATTTTTATTTCCAGAAATTAACTAGGTGACTTTTTTTTTTTTTTGGTACGGGGGATTGAACTTGGGTCTTTGAGCTTGCGTAGCAGGTGGTGAAACCACTGAGCTAAATCCCTGGCCCAACTACGTGACTTTTAACAAGTTTCTTATTCACACTGAATTTCCATTTTCTTTTCTCAAAAATAGAAAGTAAAAAATATCTTACTCATAGAAGAATTGAGGTGGATTAAATAATGGAAAGTATAAAAAGAGATAGCCACTATTCCCAGAACAAGTGAAAGACTTGATAAAAGTATTTCAGGAAGGAGTAAGCACAGTATCTGATGCTGCTGAGAGGATGAAGTGAAGTACAAACAAGATAGAGAAAAAATGAACCAGTAAATATATGAACCACATTTATAAGGAACTTGACTGAAAGAGGTAGAGGTAATAGCCAGAGGGCAGACATGGTAATAAAAGAGACATTCTGCTTTTCAAAGATGAAGTAGACTTGTGTCTGTTTAAATAATGTCAGGAAAGCCAGCAGAAAAAAAGAGATATTCAACAACTGGAACGATCTGGGGCCTCATATGACATTAGTCAATTAAATTGGCTTTAGTGAATTTATACTCTGGTAAGCTGTGCTAGTCAAAATCACAGTCTACAATGGAGGCGAATAACACAAAGGATAGAAATTCTGGGTACTTAGCATACTTAAAACTCTCTTGCTAGACCTTAAAAAGTATCACTAACTGTTTTATAAATGTTCATATATCCTGTAGCTATTTTATATGCAAAATACCCAGTTTCAAATTATTCAAAGGATTTTTCTTGATTTAAAGTATTTTCATGTGAAAGGGGAACACTTATACAATGTTTTTTGCAATGTAAAATAGCATGTTCTTATAGTAAACATTATTGAATTTCTTTTAAAAATTAAAAATAGAACTGCCATATGACCCACCAATCCCACTAGTGAGTATATATTCAAAGAAAGTGAAATCAGCATGTTGAAGAGACATTTACATTCCTGTGTTTGCTACAGCATTATTCACAATAACCAAAAAATGGATTTCACCTTGGTGTCTGTACACTGATGAATGGATGAAGAAAATGTAGTATATATACAGTTGGATCCTATAAAAAGGATAAAATCTTTTCATTTTTCAGAACGTGGATAGAACTAGTGGTCATTGTGTTAAGCGAAATAACCCAGAAACAGAAAACCAAATACTGCATGATCTCCCTCGTATGTGAAATATAAAAATTTGATCTCACAGAAGAGGCTGGAGAGGGTAGAGGGGAAAGAGTGATGGAGGAAGGTTGCTCAAAGGATACTGAGTGACAGGTTTATAGACGTTCTAAAGGATCATGTCATCTGCAAATAATGATAATTTGACTTCTTTCCCTGTATGCATCTCATTTATTTGTTTGTTTGTTTATTTATTTATTTTTGCCTGTTTGTGCTGGTTTATGTTTTGAGCACTATATTGAACAGAAGTGGTGATAGTGGACATCCTTATCTTGTTCCTGATTTTAAAAGGAAAGCTTTCAGCTTTTCCTCATCTAAAATTATGTTAGTTGTTGGTTTGTCCTAAATATCTTCTATCATATTGAAATATGGGGGTTTTTTTTATCATAAATGGATGTTGGATTTTGTGAAAAGCCTTTTCTTCATCTATTGATATGATTTTTGTCCTTTCTGCTTATGTGTTGTATTACATTTATTGATTTGTGTTATGTTGAACCATCATTCCATCCTTGGGATGAAACCTATTTGGTCATGACATATGATCTTTTTGATGACTTGTTTCATTATATATCCTCTTGAGAACTTTTATATCTATGTTCATTAAAGTAATTCGTCTGTAGTGTTCTTTTTAATTGGATCCTTGATAGGTTTTGGAATCAGGGTAATGCTAGCTTCCAGGAATAAGTTTTGAATGTACTTTTCCCCCTATCAATTTCATTAAGGAGTTTGAGAAGTATTGGCATTATATCCTTCCTGAAGATCTTACAGAATTCAGCTGTGAATCCCCTCAGGGGTTTCTTAGTTGGTAGTTTTTTTTTTTTAAATTATTGCCTCAATTTCATTGCCAGTTATTGGATTTTCAGAAATTTTATGTCTTCTTGGTGAAATTTTGGCAATTCATATATGTCTAGGAATCTTTTCATTTCTTCAAGAGTCTTCAATTTGTTGGAGTACAATTTTCTTTTTTTTGGTACCGAGGATCGAACTCGGGTCCTTGCGCTTGCGCAGCAGGCGGTGAAACCACTGAGCTAAATCCCCGGCCCATGGAGTACAATTTTCATAGTAGTCATTAATGATCTTCTGGATTGTACTGGTGTCTGTTGTGATTTTGCCTTTTTCATTTCTAATTGCATTTCACTTTTTTCATTTCAAATCCATTAATATGAATTGTTTTCTTTCCTTCTTTTGGTAAGTTAGGCTAAGGGCTTGTCTCTTTTATTTATTCTTTCAAAGAACCAGCACTTCAATTCGTTGATTCTTTGTGTTTTATAACTTTGAATTACGTTAACTTCTAGTCTGATTTTTATGATTTCCTCTGTTCTATTATGTTTAGAAGTTCTTGTTCTTATAGTTTATTTCTTTCTTTTTTTTTTTTAACTTGAAGTAGTTACTTTAATCAGCATTAGTTGTTCAAAGTCAACAGACAGGAACATCTTTCCCTGAGCACCCACAAATACCATGACCGGGCAGGCACCCACTTTCCATCTGGACTCAAACTGTGCACAAAGGCACCCCTGGCAAACTAGTATCCTAGTTCCTGAAGTGAAGTAAAAAAGTAAACACCCTGAAGCTCCTCAGCAGAACTTTTTATTTAAAAGAATTTGTTCTGGTCTGAATACAACATGATTGACCCTCTTGATGGCCAAGTGAAGGCCAGTTGTTTAGCAGATCTCAAGCCACAGCCCTATGGCCATCAGCAAGAAACCACATCTCACCTACACTACCCTTTAAGAGGAGACAATTTATTTGCTTCCAAACTGACAGGCTGCTTTTTCCTCACTAAAGATGTATGAGGCCCAGGTAGCTGGTTCTCAGTGGTCTT